ACTGTGTGTCTGTGTGTGTGTGAGAGAGAGTGTGAGTGTGTGTGTGTGTGAGAGAGTGTGTGTGTGTCTGTGTGTGTGTGTGAGAGACTGTGTGAGAGTGTCTGTGTGTGAGAGTGTGTGAGTGTGTGTGTGTGTGTGTGTGAGAGTGTGTGTGAGTGAGAGAGTGTGTGTGAGTGTCTGTGTGTGAGAGTGTGAGTGAGAGAGAGTGTGTGTGAGAGAGTGTGAGTGTGAGTGTGTGTGTGTGAGTGAATGAGAGAGAGTGTGTGTGAGAGAGTGTGAGTGTGAGTGTGTGTGTGTGAGTGAATGAGAGAGAGTGTGTGTGAGAGAGTGTGAGTGTGAGTGTGTGTGTGTGAGTGAATGAGAGAGAGTGTGTGTGAGAGAGTGTGAGTGTGAGTGTGTGTGTGTGAGTGAATGAGAGAGAGTGTGTGTGAGAGAGTGTGAGTGTGAGTGTGTGTGTGTGAGTGAATGAGAGAGAGTGTGTGTGAGAGAGTGTGAGTGTGAGTGTGTGTGTGTGAGTGAATGAGAGAGAGTGTGTGTGAGAGAGTGTGAGTGTGAGTGTGTGTGTGTGAGTGAATGAGAGAGAGTGTGTGTGAGAGAGTGTGAGTGTGAGTGTGTGTGTGTGAGTGTGAGTGTGTGAGTGAGAGAGTGTGTGTGAGTGTCTGTGTGTGAGAGTGTGAGTGAGAGAGAGTGTGTGTGTGTGTGAGTGAGTGTGAGTCTGAGTGAGACTGTGTGTGAGTGTGTGTTACTCAGTAATGATGAGATGAAGTGTCCTCTTCGTTGTTCTTCGCAGTACAGCAGCTCCCGAGCCGCGTCCACGCGCATCACGGACACGAGCGCCGCGCGCTTGCGCACCGCCTGCGGGAACGTCGTCAGTCATGAGTCGCCACATCGCGGCACTCGGTAAATACAAATGTAGTTTTTTTTATTGATCGAAATAACACGGCTCTTACCGACACATCCGACCTGTCCATCATCTCCGCGACGCACGCGACGCAAATGCCGCCGCGTTCCCACCGCAGCCCGTGAGCGTCGTGAATCTTCTCACAGATTACGTCTAAACTCGACATTTTTTCCACATAATACGGCATTAAATCGTCTCAGGGGGTTATTCTAGAGGCGATATATGAGTTTTACACTGTTAAAGCTATTAACAGATTAACGCGACAGAGAAAACGAATTAAAACGCTGCGCGAGGACGTCGGCCCGTTAGTCCGACCAATCAGAGCGAGATCACGAGGACCGTTAACCAATCAATTCTAACTCTGGAAAAACAGGCTTAAACAGGTTTAAAACGAAATAAGGGTGAAAATGACAAAATGTTGCCTGTATACATTTATTTATTTATTTTTGCATTAAAAAATCGTTGCAGTCAGCTATAATAACGTGTGTGAAGTTTTGAAACGGTTTTCACTAACTCATCTGATTATTCATATTTAGTTTAATATGTTTATAAACAAGGTTTGAGCACTTTTACCTTTAAAAAATGCTGAGTACTTTTTACTCATTAATGTCTGCTAATCTTCAATTATCTGCAGCAATGAATGTCTAATGTCAGCAAAAGTGGGGCATCAGCTAATATGGGACGAATAAGCTTTTGGTGTAGTTCTCATTTAAAAAGAAAATTACTGATAGCAATGGGTGGTCTTGAAATGTTGTAATAACAGTAATTTAACAATGTCAACATCTGATTAGTCAAATGTAAATCATAGGGGCATAGCCACTCAATTTTATGCAATGATGTGCACAAATGTCACAAACTGCATGGACAAGAGAAAGAAACGCACATGCTACACACATACTACATAAAAACAAATATGAAAGCATTAATACACAAGCACACAGTTGGAAAAAAAAAACAGTACACACAAGCAGGCAAATCATATGGCAATGTGGTATTTTTATACTACACATAATATATTGTACTTCTGTTGAAATGATTAAACAGAAGTACAGTATATTCTTTGTATAATCTTTGCTTTTTTGTTTTTGTTCTTCTGTTGGGGTGTTATAATTCTTTTGGTTTGTTGTGCTTTATTAATTCTTTATATCTGTTGAAGTGTTTTAATTAAATCAACATTACGTGTTTATGTGTTAACAATCCTCATGTCTATTTTTTATTCTTCTATTTTTTTAGTTATTCTTTTAAATTTAGAATTGTTTTATTGAAAAGATCATGTACAATGTCCTCTTGTAAGAAACTGTATCTAAGCACAAACTAGATAAATTGTGTGACTCACATTACCAGATGCAGTATCCCAAAAAGTCTGAATAATAAAATTAATCAATTTAATTAATTAATTAATAAATAAATAATAATAATAATAATAAAAACATAGTGGGAGATACAAGAGACGTTTAGAATTAAAGTTTAAATAAGTTTAAAATAGTTTAAAGCATAAATAGTGTTGGTAGAATAAATGTAATACCAAAAAGTGTACCAGATTTGCTGACTTCACCTTACACCAACTCCTTGTAAACATTTTGAGAAGACTGAACAATTCTTCCACAAAGTTATAGTTCGTTAAGTGTTGGGTATTTATTCAGAACGTTGAACATATTTGAATATTTTTTATTATAGATCAGTGAATAAACATTGACTGCCTAAACTTGCTTCAACCACTTCCGCCCAGTTACAGATGATGTCGTCGATCTATTTTATTATTGGTTAAACCATAGATATATTAGACATGTCTATGGGTTAAACCCATAAACGCCATCCGCCATTTTTTTGCAACCGGTTTTCTGCGTAGGCAGTTTCTGCGTTCAGACGTGAAGGAACGATGTAAACACCAGAAAATGCACACATTGCTTTTAAATAATGGGCACGCGTGTCGCGAAACTCTTTGCTCTACTTTGTGTTTTTCTTCTTTATAGGACTTCGCCTTCAATTCATGCAGGTAAAGGAAACAATCAGAAAAGAAAGTGAAAGTAACTTTTGAATTTGAACATTTGACGTATTTATAAGAACATAATTGAAATCTGATTACAAATGCATGCTGTATAGGAAACTTGAAAGCGAACTTATATTTCTATACTCCTATAACTAAGTATGAGTTTGGTCGATAATATGTCCATGAATATTCAGTATATTCTAGTCAAAATCTGAAATCTGAAATCACATATAATAAATAAAGGTGTTGGTAACTAGGCTGCTGCCATGTTGATCAAAATTTAGGTTAGGTCTCCCAGAGAACAGGTCTAGATCCATATGATAAGATTCAGTATATTTGGTTCTTTGTGTTGCTGAAACTTGAGACTTCATATGTTTTAACTGTTTTCTCCTTCAGGAATGTAACATTTTATCACATTTAAAACAGTGAATAGTTGTTTAATTCATATTTTATTGCTCTTCATTGCAGAGAAACACTCACTGTATTACATTTACACGGGTTTATCCAAACCTGTCTATCGGCCGGGCATCTATCAGTTCACTGCTATGGCTCTGCTAGATGACATACAGATTGTCTATTACAATAGTGAGGAACAGAAGAAGATTCCCAAACAGACCTGGATGGAGAAAATGCGGGATTACTGGGAAGAAGGCAGAAAGAACAAAAAACAGTGGATTGATGAGAATATCGACTCTCTGATGAAATGCACGAAACAAAATGAATCAGGTGAGAAACATTCCTACACTTTAATTTGAACCTAAATAAATTCATCATATTATATTTTCATAATTTTTTTTTCTTACCAACATTTCGATTCATCTCCATTTCAGATCTTCATGTTCTTCAGTGGAGACATGGTTGTGAAGTTGATCAGCAGGGAGATGAATCAAAACGCATTAATGAGTACTGCTATGATGGAGAGGACTTTCTGTCTTTCGATTATAAAGAGTCCCAGTGGGTCGCCCCACTTGACACTAATTTAATAACCAAGTGGAAATGGAATAATGTGCCAATCTTAAAACAACGCACAGCAGGCTACCTGGAGAAAGAGTGTGTGGACTGGCTCAAGAAATTCAGAGAATATGGAGACAAGGAGCTCGGAAAAGCTTGTGAGTAAATGTACAGTATTGATATTTGTTGTTTATATGCAAATGATTGATAAACAAATTCCTGTGTTTTCAGCTCCTCCAGATGTTCATGTGTTTGCAAGGAAATCCAGTGATGAAACCAAGCTGAAACTCATCTGTATGGCCACCGGCTTCTACGCCAAAGACATGATGATGACCATTAGGAAATATCGCACACCTCTACCTGAAAATGAGATTAAATCCACAGAAATCAGACCAAACCCTAATGAAACCTTCCAGATAAAGAACAGTGTGGAGATTCAGGAGGATGAAGAAGCAGAATATGATTGTTTTGTGTCCCACAGAACCCTTACAGAACCAATTATCATCAAATGGGGTAATCAAAGCAGTTACACATACATGCAGAAACATCACTTGATGAATTAAAAATAAATTTAAGTTGTGAATTTCCATTTTCCTCTATTTTGTGGATTTTTATAGATGGAAAATGCCAGAACTGCCCACCAGACACTGTCATAGTTATGATTGCAGCAGGGATTGGAGGTTTCCTTCTGCTGGCATTTGTTGCTTTTGTGGTTTACAAACTTTACATCATAAAAAAGAAAGGGATTAATGGTGAGTAGTCACTAATTAAGGATGATCCACACATTCTTGTTTTTGGTTTTTAAGACATTGAGACATTGGGATAGACTCCAGCATTCCTGTGACTTTACATAGGACAAGCAGTGTAGAGAATGAATAATTTACCCAAATATTTACCCCTAAAAGTCTGCTTTTGAGTTCCACTGGGGGAAAAAACAACATACAGGTTTGAAATAACATGACAATTTTTAAAATTTTGAGTGAGTTATTGCTTTAATGAAAAATATATTACTAAAATACAGCTGCAAGCAGCAATTAAGGTGCCAAGCACACCAGAGGCTAAATTTGGAGTATAGCTTGACACTGAGCAATTACTAATTACTTAGTAATTGCAACAATGAGTAATTAAAGACATTTTAAGACATTTAACAAAAAAAATTTTAAATCATAAATGCAAATCTTATAATATGATTTAATGGTTTAAAACTTTTGACCAATTTTAAATTGATGTGATGTGTTCTGTGTGAGGTGACAATGACATACATAAAGTTTGGTGTCAGTATGTCAAAGCTTTGCAGAGATACAGCCTCTGTAAATGTATTCACTCCAGTAAATGTATTAATGCAGTAAATGAGTGTCTATTGACATGAAATCCATAACTTTTTGTCAGCATGGTCTTAAGATGATCTAATTAAAAATCAAACCACCAGTCTAGGAGGACTTAGAAAATGTAAATTTTTAAAGTAAATCAAAATGGTACACAGGAGTACCTTCAGGACATGGTGCCAAAAACATGTACTGAGTTTCACCAGTGCATTCATAAAATACAGCATTGAAGGGTTAGTTCACCCAAAAATGAAAATTAGTCCATGTTTTACTCAACCTCAAGGCATCCTAGGTGTGTATAACTTTATTCTTTCAGACGAATCCAGTTGGAGTTACATTAAAAATTGTCCTGGCTATTCCAAGCTTTATGGCAGTGGGTGGGTGTTTTGTGTTCAACAGTCCAAAAGAAGTCAAATAAAGCACATCCATCCATACAAAAACATGCCTCACACGGCTCGGGGGGTGAATAAAGGCCTTCTGTATCGAATCCATGTGTTTTTGTAAGAGAAATATCCAAGAAATTAAATGATAGAAAATCATCATGCTCTTGACTAAATTAATTTGTAGTTTTAACAAGAATTAATCTATATTTAATTTATACAGTGAAGACTATGCAATGATATTTTACATTTAGTTATTTGGTTTTGGTACCTGGATACCTATAAACTTGAAAAAACTTTAACATTATTTCATTTGTATCTTTGTTCTATTTATTTATTTGTGCTATTTACACAATTTCAAACAGGGCCCACAGGTACAACCTGCACCAGGGCCCCGCAAACCCCACCTACGACCCTGACTCTGACCCTCAATGAGCAGACACCCTTGTTTTAGATAATAGTTATTTATACATTAGTGCAAATAATTTTTTTTAAATGTCTCACACCCTTTAGTTTTGAAAACCACAGACTTATCAACATCTGAAGAAGAGAAATATCCAATATCTAATTACTGTACAGATTGTTGATTTATTTTTATTAATGACACAGTTAAACAGACACTAACTCTCTGGACTCTGAACATGACTCCTATTTGGATATTTATTCACCTTTGTTAAATGTGTACTAAATATTTTGTCTGAGGATAGTCAGCACCAACACTAAGATGTGAGAACAGCTTTTCAGATTAAAAAAAATGCATCACTGGATCATTTATTTGCCTGGAATGTTGGTGAATCCTTATTTAACAGGTTAATTTATACAATGAATTGTAGTTTCTCCTACAGGACAAGACACTGGTAGTGAAACATCAGACAGCAGTGCCACAAGCTCAGTGGAGCCCATTCTCCAAAAGGTAATTATATTTTTAATGGAATGTCAGTGCTGTTTAGACACAATTCTTTTTTCCACAACTTTGTATTTATGTTTGGGACTGCAGTTGTCAACTACATTGAAGACAGGGACTATTCTGCTTAAGTCAAGCTGATACCACCATTTTGAGTCAAGGACAGCAAAATGCTTAGCATTTTAATGGGGTATTGAACTAGTAGATAGCAGTGGTAGAGGTAACGAATTACAACTACTCACGTTACTGTAATTAAGTAGTTTTTTCGGGTACTTGTACTTTTTTGAGTATATTTTTAAAGCTGTACTTTTACTTGTACTTAAGGAGAAATTAAGCCAAATGTATCTACTTCGTTATTTTTAAATCATAGTTTGTTACCGAGTATGCCCACAATTAGAATTGATATTCAAACCTTTGACGGCACTTCAGTAGCCGATAAAGATATCTGTAAACGGACCAATAACAGCCCTGATATCTGAACCGGGAAAAGCCGCCGCTGCAGCTGCAGCAGGTGAAGAGATGATCAGACAGTGAGGGAGCTCAGCGTTATTTATGGACTCAAAGTTTGGAGAAACAAACTACTTGGTAGTGTTATCATAAATATCTATATTTTGATACTGATACTGAAATACCTGACACGGTTCTATCACTTATTTTCTACAGTGTCTACCGAATATACACCAATACAAGTGGCGTCTCTCTCTCCTCTCCAAAGAGCTTGACACGCATCCGCCTCCGCCTCCGCCTCCTGTCGATTACTGAATGTCTGCGTGGGATTGCAGGTATTCCACATAATTTGAATCATTTATGGCGAGCACTTTATTGTAATATGAGAACACAGTCATGTAATCGCAGAAAACTGGATGCGAGCTCTCAAATAGGCCCAACTTACACAAATTTATTGCCTGTCCTCTCACTCCGATATTGCTTGTGTGCACATAGACTGTGTGCAATCACGATCTCTCCATGCTTTTAAAGTAGAAATTATTTCTCTTTGCTCCTGGATTAAACTTTGTCAAAAGTTATCAACCATTCAGAAGAGATCCACACCTGACCAATGAAAATCCTACTGGAAATTTTATTGGCTGTAAGTGAAATGCACCAGAAAGTCTTTCATCAATCAAAGATTGAACTTTAATTTCTCTACAATGTAAGGCAAGGCAAGGCAAGGCAAGTTTATTTGTGTAGCACATTTCATACACAATGGTAATTCAAAGTGCTTTACATAAAATTAAATAAAAACAATAGTCACAACAATAAAACAAGGAATTTAAAAACGTTGAAAAAAAAAAACAAAAAAAATTGATTTAAGAGGTTTAAAATGAATTTAAGAAGACGA